CGAAGACAGTTGTTGATAAAGGTCTGCAACAGGCTGCTGGAAATATTCTTTGTGACCCGCCAAGTTTCTGATCCGTACGTATAGAAGAACTGACTGACTTGACGTTTGTATTGAAAATCCGAATTTTGTTGTTGATGCTGAGTGACAGCGGAAGATTTTCAGATTGGTTTCAGGTTGATGAATGTGTTTCTCGCCTTCGCGATTCTCGATTTGACATCGTCGTCCGTTCCTCGCGTAGTTGAGACAATGCTCCCTAGATAAGTGAATGAAGTAACCTCTTTCAAATCCTTCCCGTTGATGGCGATTGGCGCTGGATCTCTCTTAAGTTAGATTTTTTATCGAATTTCCCATTGAGGATTTTCTCTGTAGTATTCAAAAGTACGGGTGATTTCAAGTGATTCATACTAACATCAGCTTGCAGAACATCATTTAATACGACCTGACTGACTTTGCACACAAACGAAACCAACGCGGATGGAGATATTGAGCCATATTCGACAGTTTTCAACTTTTATGTCATAATTGTGAATTATTACTAATCTTGTTCTCTTGCATTCCGACTGGAACAAGAGGATTCAACTGCATATCTCCACCTTGTTCTGTCTTCTGCTCTCCTCTTCATCCGGTCACATGACTGTCCATGGTCTCTTATCTCCTCTTTACACGATCTCTTCCATTTCACCCTCGAACTCTCGCCCAGATGGTCATTCGGCAGTCTCCTTAGAGTGTGTCCACGTTATTCCCATTATCTCGTGAATATTTGTTGAGGGATACATACTTCCTTGGTTTGTTCCCACAGTTTCTTGTAACTAATTCATCCTGACCTGCCATTAGGTCGTCAATATAGAGCAAAGGCAGTTACTGAAATGATTTGTTGGAAATGCTTTGCTTGATGTTGGCACCTAGTTTCTGAGCCAAACACAAGAACCGTCTGACTTTATATTTATATTGAGTGGAGTGCAGAAGATTTACAAACTGGTTTTAGACTGATGAAGGTAAATCTTGTCTTTCCGACTCTGGCTTTGACATCTTCTTTCATTCGGTGTGTCTCTAGCTGAAACGATGCTTCCTAGATAAGTGAAGAAAGTAATCCCTGTCAAATTTGTTCTGCTGATGTTGACTGGTTCTGGTTGCTGTTGGTTGGTTGTCTTCATCACCACCGTCTTCCCTGTGCTACTTATTCAGTTAGTTCGTTTGTTTTCGACTGCAATTCTTCCTGACTTCTCGCACCCGTCTTCCACATAATCCAGCCCACCACAATTAGGAATGTCGTTGGTGTTAGTAAGCAGTGCCCTTGCCTTACTTCAGCCTTCAATTCAAAGACTTCTTCGCTAGGTTTCCCGCTGTGGATCGTCTGACACATCAGATAGTCATATTGTAAAGAAGAAAAGACCGAGGAGGCTGAAAGAAATGTTTATACGGGGAAACGTTTTGTACATAGGTAAATTTGGTATACCATATTCTCAAACTGCCATTTGCACATCATTTACCACATCCTTCACGAATTGGTCGAATATCATCACATTCGATAGCTTCTTGGGATTCTGCATCATATGACAACATTCTTCTCATGGTTCTCTACTTTGATTGCTCTTTCCAGTGTGCAAAACATATTGTTACTTCGTTTCTCATATACTACTTATATCTGATTATAAGTAGCACTCACCACAATATGATTGTTGAGTGAGGTAGGTGCAGATTTGGGGCACTCCATAGTGTTGAAATATGGTTTAAGTACGGTGACTGGTCAAGTATTGTCCGACTATGTTGTGAACGTGATGGACACAAACACAATATCACCGCTTTATCTAAGATTCGAAAACAGTCTTGACCTTTGTCAACGTGATAAGCTATTGTGATCGGACACTAACTTGTGTCGTCCATCCAGTGTCCAATCACAACCGAGAGGGTCAGTCGAAATCCTGAATATCTCAATAGTAACAATTCTGAATGTAGGCAGCACTGGGTGATACGACGTCCCTCAAGATTGCTGATACACTCCTTGATGACTGGTGAGTGTCAGTCAACAAGCTTGAGAACTAGGTCACGCAAGGCTCCCTCCTGACGATTGCCTTCAAACATCGAATTGAATGACTATGTTAAAATCTTACAAACCTATCACACCTTAAAAAAAGCTTTCGTTACTTTCTTTTTCTAAGATCGATTCTCAGGGGTCTGATTAGTTTCAGGTGTAATCATGAATTGATACCAGCTAGAGAACCACTGAAAACCAGATAAGAATGGAAAGTCTTTTCATCCCAATTTGTGACTCTTCAGTAGTGTTCACTGATCACTCAATCACAGAATGAAGCCAGGATCTTCAGGTTAGGATGCAAGCCCATTGGCCATTCAGCTATTGAGACAGAATGTGATAGCCTATCAATTCGTGCTTTTTAGTGTCACCACCAGCCGACTCGATCTGATGAACCCCACTGGTCACTACGTCTCATAACCTTCCTGATGACTCCACTAACAGAACTTGAAACCATTAAATCCCCAGAAACTGACACTCAAAAATCAATCAGATGCTCACTAGTGACTGGGAGTGGAACAAAAATATCATGACCAGCTAGGTCCCCCAGGTTCGATCGCTTACAACACTACTGATATTAGTATAAAACTTGGGCACTGCGATATAGCATAACTCCATTATGGATAAGATTTTATTGTGATAAATCTCACAGTGTGTTATACAGTAATATTCACTGATGACCACCTTTCGAGCACAAACCATTGCCACTCATAATCATATCAAATTACTCACTCACACAACACTTTTCCTTCATTTATATTCATGTGCGGAATCGATTAGATATTTGAATAAAATTGAATATGAGATAATGTACATTCAGACATAATAATACGAGTGTTACTCATAAAATACAATCAGATGGGAAATAAGACGATTGCTTTTATAGTCATAATAAGTAACTTGTTAGAATGTTGTGATATGCTTGAATTGAAATAGAATTTTAAGATTATTTATTATCCTCTTCTGATTTGATTGGCGGTAATAATATCTTCCATATCCGTGGTATTTGCATTGATTCATTTCTGTTGCATGTGTTGGGTGTAGACTCGATGAACAATGATTCAGTAATCAACCTCTCTCTCCACCTACATAGATTACTTTTTAGAATTTTAACCCTCTCCCATCCTATTGTGTGGTTGTGTATTAATGCGTGAAGTGCAATAGCTGAGCTTTTTCTAAATTACTTATCTTGTCGGGGTCAACTATTCTTCTTCTTATTATTATTATTTCCTTTAGTTCCTAGAGGAACATAGGGCTTCAGCCATGCGTCTCCATTGCGTTCGGTTCTCTACTGAGACAACTATTCTTACCTTAGCTAAATTCTTATGTTCTGATAATCTAGCTGCCCCCCAATCTACTAGTTTGACCTATGTAGTTGACCTCACAGTCATTGCAAGGTATTTTGTAAATTATATTATTTTGTCTAATTGGGTCAACTGGATCCTTTAACCTACAGAGCTTGTCTGTGAGTTTGTAGGTCTGAACGCCACCCTAACTCTTGCTTTATTGAGAATCCCACCACGTAGAATCTCAGATGTTCTCTCCTTATGTGGTATGACAGTCGATGACTTATATTCTGTCTTATTTATGTTATCATTACTTACAACACTAGGCGATGGCCGAGCTATATGCTGCCAGTTGACAGAATTTAGAATTCATGACCAACAGGACTCTGTTCCGATGGTTGAAAGATCTAATCTGACGTCCCTGGCCTCGATTTCCGATGGTATCATGTGTGCATATTAACGAAGATTACCGAACTAGGACTTTCAAGGTTTCCATATCATTTATCCCAGTTTGCGATAGGTCTATATTTTAACAAACCATCCACAAAATGTCTCTGATGCATGGAGAACAATTATACTCTGCTCCCTAACCACGAGTTGTATTCATAAATGACCTCGTTGTCTAACCAGACCCTTTACCGGATTTACTTTATGTTTTTATTGGTATATAGCGAAATGTTGAATAACTCAAGTATCCATTTGTAAAAAATTATATTCGTAAAATCTCAGCGAGATTGAAATGAGTAATTCCAACGTTTCCTGCGTCCGGCAATCTGGTCCGAACTTCTTCAAGGAAATTAATCGAAATTAACATGACAGAGGTCTATATATAAAAGGAATATCACTTGTTTTTAAAACCTTTGTCCAATCATGAGTCATTCTACAAGTATAATAAACAAAATTTTATGAGCTGTGATCAAAATTTGACCTCGGACATACACATATTGGTCTACCTTTGTTAAACACTTTAAACAGAGTGTGTATGTGTGTGTGGGTAAACAGTTGTAAAACATTTCTTAACGTCTCCATAAAAAGATATGGACAGTCGAGAATTTCGACCAAGTATTAATAATTAGTGATACATATCCATTTTTTATTTATTAATCAGGATTTGCTATGCTAACATCACGCCTTCATGTCTGTTCAAACTGTTAGTACCTAGAATTTTATGATCAGACGTATTTTCAAAATTATGGTGTTTAGGATTAGAGTTTAGTAGAAGCACCCTGTCGAACTTATTGCATTGTCTTCTCTCTGAAGATTGAGCTGCTTTATTTGACCTGCTGGAGTTGTCAGGTGACTCGACAGCTACGGATTTAGGATATGCATTGTGTTACAGACAACGGAGATTGAAAACACGATGATTGTGCCAATTACACAGTTTCTTTGAACAAAGTTTTTAAAAAACAAGTGATGTTCCTTTCATGTATAAACCTCTCTTATGTTAATTTCGATTAATTTCCCTGAAGAAGTTCGGACCAGATTGCCGAACGCAGGAAACGTTGGAATTACTCATTTCAATCTCGCTGATATTTTACAAATATAATTTTTTTCAAATGTCTACTTCTCACTTGGCGCCCAAATATTTTAGAACTATTCTGTCAAATCTTGACGACAGTTCATTTGAACTCATATACCCCTTAAATAAGTTTAACATACTTAATTCTGATATCTTTCCTTAGTTTTTCAGGTTGAATTCAACTACCGGTGAATTAATTGTACAAAATCCGCTAGACAGGGAGGCAGCACCGTTCTCAGCTGGTCTACACCGTTTCACTATCACAGCACTGGATCATGGCATTCCACAGAGAAGTTCAAATCTATTAATAGTATTACAAATATTAGATGTGAATGACAACCATCCATTGATCCAATTAACCGAAGAAGCAGGCCAGTATCGACAACATTTACAAAAGAATCCCCCAAATATGATGGACAATAAAAGCGAGTTACACAATGAAAGGATAAAGGAAATTTGGCATTCAATAGTCAATAATAAAACCATAACTGCAAGTTCAATTATTCAACGACTCCACAATGTTTCACTGCATACTAAAATGATTGGTAATCAACCGAAGAATACAATAGCTACATTCCTAACTGTTAATGATCCTGATCTAAATGAAAATGGTACAGTGACCTGTTTAATTGAAGATCAATTGGTCATCTATTCGAAAAATTATTCAAAACAGATCGGATCCGATCATCACAGTGATGATTCTTACAACTATGCTAATAATCAGTTCATATCGCTGGAACCATTTGAGTTCGGCAGTGGAGTAAATCGTCAAGACTGGCAATACCATCAGTTTGACGACGATATGGATTTCGTAAAAATGAAACCGCCTACCACTGATCCTGATGACCAAAAGACATCGTTTCCAGACAAAAGACGGAAATCAATGTATTACAATGCGTCGGCTCAAAATGCCAATCAATACACCTATCAGCTGAAAACAAAGACAGTAAGTTTTCACATTTTTTCATGTAACCTGTTTATTCTACTTACTCTAAGAGGTTTTGCTGATTCCTTCAAGGAAAAAATATGTTTTTGGATTAAGGTTCACAGTGTCATACAGTAATATTTACTGACAACCACGTTTCGAGCAAAATTTATTGCCGCTCATGGTAATAATAAGACATCATTCGCAAACCTTTCTGACTCTGGTGACTAGTCATATTCATTTAAGGTAATTTCCTTGGATTCTAGTGAGAAGTTGTAATTAGTGAGGTACAGCAAGTAGGCTGTGAGGACAAATACACTCCGCTGGTGATATTGTCTAGTAGTCGCGCTGCATCGTGAATTCAAAGAAGTTGCAATTAATTGGATAGGGTACCAGTGGCTGGGTTCGAACTCAGGCAGTAGAGTGGGTCCATGCTACCAAAGAGTCTCAAACTAGGCTGATAAAACAGCTGTCCAGTACTCCCTGGTGATTTTTCAATAGTCCTCAAACGGACACAGCTTATGATGAAGCCCTGTAACCACTCGAATTTCTGCAAACCAAAACTTGAATATTAAGTATAAATGTGTTAATGAGAAATGTATTTTATTATGTTTTATTGTTCCCTTGGGTTCCTAGTGGAACATAGGGCTTCAACTGCACGTCTCCACTCGCTTCCGTCTTCTGCTGTACTTTTCACCTGCATCCATGTTAGTCCATACTGTTTCAACTCCTCTTCACACGATCTCCTCCATGTAACACTTGGACGTCCCACTCGCCGCTTCCCTTTCGGGTTCCACTCGAAGTCACCCAGCGGCCTTCTCAGCGAGTGTCCAATCCATCTCCACTTTCTCCTGCATATTTGTTGGGCGATTGGTTCTTGTTTTGTTTGTTCCCTTAGTTTCTTGTTGGTGATTCTTTCCGGCCATCTGATCTTCAGCATATAGAACGAAGACAGTTGTTGTTGAAAAAGGTCTGCAACAGGCTGTTGGAAATATTCTTTGTGACCCACCAACTTTCTGATCCGTATAGAAGAACTGACTGACTTGACGTTTGTATTGCAAATCCGAATTTTGTTGTTGATGCAGGCTGAGTGACGAAGATTTCCAGATTGGTTTCAGGTTGATGAATGTGTTTCTCGCCTTCCCGATTCTCGATTTGATATCCTCGTCCGTCCATTTCTCCTGTAGTTGAGACAATGCTCCCTAGATAAGTGAAAGAAGTAACCTCTTTCAAATCCCTCCTGTTGATGGTGATTGGCACTGGATGTTGCTGCTGTTGTTGTTGTTGGTTGGTTGGTTATTTTCATAAATTCCGTCTTGTCTGTGTTCACCTGGAGTCCTGTCTTCTCTGGCTGCTTCTTCGACCTGTTTGTCTGTCGGTTTTCGCTTGTAAGTCTTCGATTTTGTTTGACATCAAACATAAATCATCCACGCACGAAATACAGGTCTTCTAGGTTCTTCACGTCGGTTCAGGATATCCCTGTCTTCTCGTTTCCTACTGTCTGACACATAATCCAGTCCACCACAATTAGGAATATCATTGGTGATAATAAGCACCCTTGTCTGACTCCTGTGTTTACTCCAAACGCTTCGCTGAGTTTTCCGTTGTGGATCACTCGACATGTGACGTTGTCGTACAGCTGTTGAATAAGGTTGATGAATATTTGGGGTACGCCATAGTACTTGAGTAGTTTCCGAATTACTTCGCGGTCAACGCTGTCGAAGGCCTTCTCAAAGTCTATAAAGTTGAGGTAGAGGTTTGATTGCCATTCCATGCTTTGTTCGATGATGATGCGTAGAGTTGCGGTTTAATCAGAACATGATTCACCTTAATGAGAAATGAGTAAAGAAATATTATGTGGTAAATGTTGAAATAAATCATACCCATCGTCTGTCCAGTGAATAAACAAACTTCTTTTGGCAAGTTAGGATTAACATGCGATGACAGTTCTCAGTTTGAAGAGTCATAAGAAAATGACTAAAGCGAAAAAAAATTTCTTTTCGACGATTCATTTTTATAAGATAATAAAAAGAAGCAAAATTATAGTAAGAACTTTACTCTGGCCACGGTAGGGCGAGTAAATATATGTAGCACTTTTGAATGCAGACGTCTGGTTTCAGATCTCGAATAGCTAATGCTTCAGTTTCTCATGCGCCATCTGTACATAGCTGAGGCATTAGCTATTCGGGATCTGCAACAGGTCGTCTGCATTCAAAAGCTCTACACAAATTCACTCGCCCTACCGTGGCCAAAGTAAAGTTCTTACTATAATTTTACTTCTTTTTATTATCATATAAAATAAATCGTCAAAAAAAATTTTCTTCGCTGTCTACGTCGTTTTCTAATGATACAATATGTGAATATTTCCAATTAATAGTGTTCTCTGAACTGGTTGGTTTAGTTGCGGAGCTTTCGTCGTCCCCCTTCTGGACAACATCTTCAGCGCAATATTTAGCATTAAGTTAAATCATTTAAATTTCCTCATGAGTGATAGAATTGCGTTTCCTGGTAACCATCTTTACATATGTATTGACCATTTTATATTGACTTGGATTTTAAACTTTCTGGTCACCTGATTTACTTTTCATTAGTTGCTATATTTGGTCTATATTAATGTGCTTGTTAATTGCATTTTCGTTTGAGTACCAGGCTTCTAGGAATTCCCTGACTGCACTTTTAGTGTTTCCTCTGTCTAAGATTTTGACATAATCCCAATCAAATTGATGGCCATAATTGTCTATATGCATTGATGCTAAAGAATATATATCGTGTCTTTTCATGGCTGATTTGTGTTCCTGGATTCTAATTCGAAGGGGACGCCCACTTTGGCCGATGTAATGCTTGTTACAGTTCATACAATTTATTTTGTAAATGGTATTAATTTTATCCTCCTTTTCTGTTGGGTCTTTTGGTTTGCACAATATCGAATGAAGTGATTGTGCTGGATGGCCTGTGTGCTATATCTATATCAAACGGTTTCAGTATTCTAGCTGTTATTTCAGAGATATTTCTCATGTATGGTAGGATGAATTTTCTTGTGCTCTTTGATAATGGTTCTTTGTTGGTGTTTTGATTCGACTTTAAACACTTTTTGATGAAATTTTGTGGATAACCATTCTTATTAAAGAGCGTTTGCAGGTATTTTTCTCCCATTCTTTTCAACTCAGGAGTGCTACAATGTGTTGGAACTCTTTTAAACAATGTCTGCACAGTGTCGTTTGTGAGTAATTGGATTATTGCTAGTATAGTTGAGTATTTCATCTAGATGTGGGTGTTGATTTTCTACATACTTGTGTTTCTAAATCCCCTGTGTTGGTTCTCCTGATAAAGACATCTAAAAATGGGATTTTGTTATCTAATTCTTCTTCTCTTGTGAATTTGATGTTTTCAAATATGTTGTTTATTAATTTATGGGTATATTCTAAATCATTTCTCTTAATTATTACAAATGTATGATCAACGTAACGTATCCAGACTTTCGGTTTAATTATAGGTAGAGCTATTAATTCTAATCTTTGCATGACAGCTTTAGCTATTAATCCTGATATGATCCTGATGACAATTATGGTCATCAATTTGATTGGGATAATGTCAAAATTTTAGACAGAGGAAACACCAAAAGTACAGTCAGGGAATTCCTAGAAGCCTGGTACTCGAACGAAAATGCAATTAACAAACACGTTAATATAGACGAAATATACCAACTAATGAAAAGTAAATCATGTGACCAGAAAGTTTAAAATCCAAGTCAATAGAAAATGAATGATCAATGCATGTGTAAAGACGGTTACCAGGAGGCGCAATTATATCACTCATGAAGAAATTTAAATGATTTCACTTAATGCTAAATATGGCGCTGAAGATGTTGCCCAGCAGGGGGACGACGAAAGCTCCGCAACTAAATCAACCAGCTCAGAGAACACTATTAATTGGAAATCATCCACCTGAACTACAAATCTTCTTTGTGTAGATACTTCGTTCGTTGAAGTTTGAAGAATCTCGATTCCTATTCCACTGGGCACGATTGCACTTACACTTGCTAGATGACCATGAAGTTGCTAGGCTTTGATTTTGATTGATGTCCAGAATCGAGTAAGTGTCTCTCTGTACAACCATGAGGGAAATTGTTCATTGCAACATTCACATAACAAACGCTGAGTACAGTCGACATACTTAACTCCACAGGAGCAGGTGGATTCGACGATAGTTAGTGATTGGTTCCATAGCATTGGTCACATATGCTTTACGTTAAATACGAATCACTGATTGTGTAGAGGAAGTAAGTCGAAGTTCATCTGCAATATATATTAATGAGTATTTATATTTGGATGCTTCTCTCATAGTTCTTCAGTTATTCAAAAGCATCGTCAATAACAATAACTGTGTTTAATAAGAAATTAATATGCATATGCACTACCTCACGTACTTTAGCTGGTGTTCCTCAAGGTGCTGTTCTTTCTCGTTTTCTGTTTTCTTTTTTCTTACATGACTTGCCCCATTCTGATGTAGCAACTTTGTCGAGTATGCTGATGACCTCTCTGTCCCCATGCCTGTCAACTATCAGTCAGACTGTTCCAAATTACATAACTTTCTCTCGGAAATTAATCAGTGGTCCTCTTCAAACGGTCTTAAGCTAAATCCGTCTAAATGTCAGGTAGTCAATTTCACTTTCAGACGAAAACGTGACCTACAACAACTAGCTAGCTCACATGGTCCCACTATCATTGACAGCATAGAGGTTGAAGCTACATCTAATGTCAAGTACCTTGGACTGAGTATTTCCTCCGATCTTTCCTGGTCCTCTAACATCTTGCTAGTTACTAGAAAGATGTTTCGCTTAGCGTTCTAAGTTAGGAAGTTAAAGCAGTCTGGTATAAAGCAGTCTTTGCTTTCTCAGTTTGTCAACTCTTGTATTCTACCCATCCCTCTTTACTGCTCCCCATTAATCTTTCCTGGACTACTTAAGAAAGACTCTGCTTCGCTGCGTAGGGCACTAAAAGCTGTTAGTAGGGGAAGTGGGATTTCGTTAAACCAACTGGTTAACACCACTGTGGATAGACATATAGTGTCATGTAAAAAACTAGCGAATTCTATATTGTCAGACCCCGAACATCCTCTCTATACGCAGCTCTCTGCTTGCATTTCATCTGGTAGAACTAGAAGCAACTATAGGAAGCTATATGCCAGGACTACCAAGTATAAAAACTCCACAATACCTTATCTGGCACAGCTGTTATGTGATGAGAAAACTGTTAGGCATGACACGATCAACTTACTGCGACACTCTAACAAATAGTTCCCATTAGCTTTTGTTCTCCTTTCTTTGTTACTATTATATTGTTGTTCACATATTCTATTACACACTAATTTTATATTTCATATCCTGTGGTGCATTATTTAAATATGTGAATGCAATGCCGTTCTTTTTTATTTCTTCTATTTCTCTTTTTTTCTTTTGTTGCTGTTGCCTTTTGTTTTTACAATCTTATAAAATTTATGAGGTAATTAGATGCAATATTGTAATGAACGCTGAAAATTCCATACCTGTACCACAAATACTGTTTGGAATAAAGCTATTATTAATTATTATTATTATTAATATAACACTGTACTCCTTTCTTTGACACATAAGAAAGAAAGCCATTCATGATATTATCTAGTTAATAATGTCTTATTTTAATTATCGCAGCCTTTATTTCAAACATTAATCTGACTAGCGTATAAACTAGCGTGGAACACAGCTTAGCTCCCTTCTCTTTCGGGGAAGGGAGGGAACTTCTTTTATCGTAGTATGTAACTGATATGAATCTCAATTATATCTCCATTCTATGTTTGTTATCAAGTTTTGATGGCTAAGACAGGTTTTTAATTACTCCAGAGATTTAAATCCCACTCAAGTGTGTGTGTGTGTGAGTGTTTTTGTTTTCGTTCAAAATAGGTCTGTTCTGCATTCTATACGCTTCAATGGATCTTAACTTTCTTCATCTAATAATAATAATTAAAGCGAAGTAATTAGAAGTTTAAAAATCTAGAGAAAGTGTGTAGTGCCATCGTAGAATAATTTTACACAGTGATTGGCTGTATTCTATGAGCTGGCTGGTTGATTAAAATGCTAAGCTTTCGTTGTCCTCCTGGAAAACATTGCTTCAGAGCGGATTTGAGTATGAAGTCAATTTATTTGAATTCTCTTTGACTGATAATATAATTGTATCTCCTAACAACAATCATTGTCGGTATAGGTA